GAGAGAGAGAGAGAGAGAGAGAGAGAGAGAGAGAGAGAGAGAGAGAGAGAGAGAGAGAGAGAGAGAGAGAGAGAGAGAGAGACATACCGGGCTTCGCCCCAGAATGATCTTGCTGTCACCCAGGTTTGCAACATACAGTGTGTTGCCGCTGAGGATAACCGTTAGCGCACAAGATCCTACAGTGGCCAGATGGGGACACGTCTTGAAGGACTCTCGGACAATGCATGTGAAGGCATCCTCGGTGACAGCAAACGCTCTTGCAATGTTCATCTCCGAGACACCCCCATTCTGCAAAAACGACACTGTGCAACAAAAACACCAAAGTGTCAGGGCTGAACTCAGCATCCAGCATAAAATTACTTGATGCAGTTGCACTCACCTGAACCGAGATGAGGAATTTGAAAACAGACATGCGCAGCAAAAAAAGAAAAAACTAGACATTCACACCATACCCCCACGGAATGTATACCATACCAGGCAACCAAGAGTCAAAGATTTCTCCAAGAGCTGACCACGACATCAGGTGTCACACAAATCAAATGGCTCAGAAACTGCTTCTGCATGCATCCAGGGCCTTCTGGATCCCGGACACCTCAGCTGGCCACTGCATCTCACCTGGTTGCACGCAAGTATCTCAGCCCTTCAATTGGGCATCAGAGGAGGCAGAACAGGCCAGTCAACACTGTATATGCTGCGTCCTCCCTTGTCTACACATTCACTGTTGGGTGCATTTCGCTGACCACTGCTGAGGTCAAGTGCGTCAGCATTAAGAGGAGACCATAGGCACCACAGATAGACAGATATGCGAGGAATGAGCCCTCGTGGGGCCTTCATCAGACATACAAGTGTTCTAGGCTGTGGCCCCTAGCAAGCCTGTGCCCGCCCTAAGTGAAGGTGGGCCTGAATATCCACGAGAGACCTGTTTTCGTAATTTTTCCATATGTGGGGATTCAGACAGTTGCAGCACGCCAGTTGGTTACAGAGCGATTTGAGCCTCCAGGCTCTTTCCAGAAGCAAGGGCTGCGCTGTACAGTTGAGCCCAGGGCTCAGGTGGTTGCGCCCTTGGCACACGCTGTGTGAGGTCGCAAATAACAGACTGGCCGTGGGCCAATGAGAGAGGAGCATTGTCGTCACACATGAGCCGGGAGCCAATGACAATGCTGCGAACACTTGGAGGCTGGGTGGCTGCCTGAACGTGCCTAACTGCACGAGAACCAGGCTAGTATCTGAAACTGGGCCTGGGCACAGACACTTGGGGCCAGAAACAAGCTACTGGGCTCCCCACACGCCTGGCCAGGCCAGCCAGCAGCGGGTACACTTTCCATAAAGGAAAGTGTGTGCCCCAGGAAGAGGGCATTCTGGCCTGTGCAGGCATTGCGGCCACACTGCTGCATTGTCGTGCGAAGCTGCGCTAAGCAGGCAGGCTGGGGCGCATGCGGGCGCTAAGTGGTGAAGAAGGCACTGCCGTGGCAGTGGGCGCACGGCGGCCATAGCCGGGCTGAGCGTGCTGGTGCAGGTGTTGGCGATGGTGGTCTTCGGGTAGGAGGCGCATGCAGAGGTTGGGGGTTAAGGTGTGATGAGGGGAGGAGAGAGCACGTACCTGGTGTATGCTGGTGGTCGGCAATGGCTCAACGTACATTGGTCTTCAACTGCGATGTGATCTGGTTGTGAGAACGTAGATAGGTTAGATAGGCTGAGTAGAGTAGGCTGGGCGTCGAGCGTCATACAGTAGGAGGGACAGTGGATACTGTGTTGGTATGATCAGAGTGTGGCAACATTGACATCAGAGTTCATTGTATTGCTCTTATTGACTTGGTATTTTGGTGCATTGTGCTCTCTTCTAGGTACACGACCATCTGAGCTACTTCGTGATTTTGCAACCTGGTTCTCTGTCTATCGTTCCTGCTCATGATCCTTGCAATTTGGTATCGGAGCTGGTTCGATATCGCCAACACTGGCGCTGGCGACTTTGTTACTTGGTGCACTGACGAAGCTTCTACGCAGTAAGGATACATTGGCGCTGGGTTGTTGTAGGCAATTTCCGGGTAGAAGGGAGCGTCGCTGAAAGGCTGTGCCGACAGCATGGGAGCTGTGGCGACAGCGGATGTATGTGAGATGATGAGAGCATGCTGACATGGCATTTTGGCTGAGGTGGCACTCCATTGCATTGTGTGTGGTACCGAGGCTATGACCAGTCATCAAAATGCACATCGGCTCAGTTGGTGAGAAATCTGTGGTTGGGGGCAGCTATCTTCAGGTACGTTGTTCCCTTACCTTATCTTCCCATCTCAATCTCTTCTTACAGTGAGGAAGTGAGTCCAACTTGAGTGTCCTCTTCTGGTTCAGGAGTTGTAAGCGCTCTACCTTGAGAGTCGACATTCTTCCTGGCGGTGCATCTAGAATGAGAGGGCGGTGCCTCTGAAGGGCCCTGGTCGAAGCACGGGTCACGGTCACCATGCTAACCAATGGGAGAAGCGCACACATGCTTTGCTGCTTTGTCCTTTAAGCTCTTGCTGTGCTGTAGAGGGAACGTGGACTTACCATTCCTATGCGAGACGTCAACCAGACCGACAATAAAGAACCTCTGGCGGGATCTGATCTACTGGCTGTGATCGTCGTCCTGTGTCACATACTGCATTTCACACGGGTCCCTTTAGGGCCCGACCACTAGGCGTAGGGGGTACCACAGGCCTGGACACGATAGTCCAGGCCGGTCCGGTCCAAAGGCCGGACCTTTATGCGGAAGGCCGCCCGGTAGGCCCCGTCGCACAGCCCCAGGTGGACACGGTCCAAGCGATATTACCGTTTGGATCGGCGGCGCCCTTGAGGCTGCCGCCTGCAAGGCCGATCTGAAACCACAGATCGGCAACCGGATCTGACGGTTCAAATCACGGCGCTGTTTCGCAGCAGAAAGGCCGAACAGGCCACCACAGTACTTAGTACCCAGCAGCGGTCTGTTCAGGAGGCATTTTCGGAGGAGCGCAGCAGTGAGGTAGCGCTGCGCTAAGTTTAGTAGCAGAAGCGCTCAGCACATCAGCACGATGCAGCGCAGATTAGCACAGTGGAGGTTAGAGGAAGAGCAGCCGACTTACCTGCAGGAGCGTCCATAGCTCCAGTCTTCGTCGCCGGCCTTCAGCAGCGCCAAGGTCACACCTTGCCATCGCAGGTAAGACCTGGACAGCAAGGCATGGGCAGGAGGACTCACCTCCGCCCCTCTCTCTCTTCTCTCCACCTCCACTTCTCCTCTGCCCCTCTCTGATCTTCTTCTTCTCATTCTTCTTCTTCTTCTCCTTCTTCAGACTGGAGACTATTGATACGAGTTGGACAGAGATCAGTGATTGGACTTCGGTGGTAGGAGGATGTGATACTTACCGGATTCGAGACATTGGAGATGGTTGGGATTGATACCTGGTGGCAGGGCAGATCGGACTCTGGTTACATTAGGATTCTGTACCTCCGACATTGGTGACTTATGTCAACGACATTCTGATTTTGTTCGGTGACATTTTGGGCTACTATATCGGTGACATTTTGGATTCTATTTCGGTGACATCTGGTGCTGTCCCTATCTCCCACCTCCATCGTCTCTTCTCCCAGCATTCATCTGTGTATGGGTGTACAGGCCTGAAGCATCGTCTATGTATGGCTTCAGACCCCACCATCTCACGATTGCTTGCGGGTTGAGCGATGTCTAGGTGAGTTCAGTCTATGTGAGTCAGTCCATATCTCAGACTTCCGCTGCATATATGCTCATCCTATATTGGTTGATCTTTGGTTCTGCCCAGACTTGGTGAAGGTGTTCACTAGTATGCAACAGTTTGGTATCGGAGCAGACCAATTAAGTGGATCTGCTCACAGGGTAATTCTGATTAGGGAATCGATTGCTTAATTAATAATTAGCAATTTAGCATTGTCCTTTTCCGAATTAGTTCTGCATTACTATCAAAGATTCAACTTGCAAAAATTCTAATTTTGATTCAGTATTCTATTTCAATTCGGTATTGAATTAGGATTTCGATAATTTTGGTTTCTCGCATTGGGGGAAAATTCGCAATTGCGGAAAATTAGGGTTGAGGTCCAAAATTTTTGCGATTTTGTTTTTTCCTAATTGTTGAAATTCCGAAAGTGGACTTTGGCCTTATGAAAATCGGACTATTTTAGGTGGAAATTCCCGAAATTTCACGCTTTTTTCGAAATTCGAGTGTTTTCCTTGTTCCTAATTGTCCAAATTTTTTCGTTTGGCAGACTGTTTGAAATCGTTTACCCCAGAACTGCAACTTCCGGGAAGTTCACTAACAACAGTTAACTCCCGGACCATAGGTGATCAACGGACACCTGATCTGCCAACAATTAAAATTTTGTATTTTAAATCATTATTTAGTCTTATTCTTTATTATTTACTTATTATTTTTGAAATTAAATTGCAATGAACCCAGTCTGGCAGATACTCAGAAGTCGTCAAAGATCATTAGTCTGTACTTCTGCATCAAAGTCTCGAAGTCGTGAAATGATAACTCAAACAGTATCTCATTACCATCAAAAGAAAAAGAGAGGAGGGGAAACAAACAAAGGAGAAGATGAGAGATCACACAGTAATAATCCCTTCAGATCCCTCCCCTTCTCTGGGCTTCTCCCCTCTCCACGTCGATGATGATAGTATATTCCTGTTCACACACAGTAGTGCCACGTGGCACTTGGTCTCGTGAAGACCATGAAGATATAACAGATACCAGTGACGACGTCAACCTCAGGTGAGTATCCGACCTCCTTCATCCACAGATCCCGATCCTCCTCCTCACAACCAGTCACCTCATGTAGACAGCGTGGACAGTGCCACATCAGCAGTCGCTATAGGTGGCATATGCCACATCATCCATGAAGACCAGTGGCAGCGCCACTTCAGCATGCAATGTAGACTAGAGGTAGCGCCACATCAGCGTGCAATGTAGCCCAGAAGTAGCGCCACATCAGCATGCCATGAAGACCAGAGGCAGCGCCACATCAGCATGCCATGAAGACCAGAGGCAGCGCCACATCAGCGTGTAATGTAGACCAGGAGTAGCGCCACATCAGCATGCCATGAAGACCAGAGGCAGCGCCACATCAGTAAAGACCAGAGGCAGCGCCACATCAGCATGCCATGAAGACCAGAGGCAGCGCCACATCAGCATTGCCTGGCGCACAGAAGAAGCGCCAGCATGCTGCCTCCACCTTGCGCTGTCGTCCGCAACGCCTGCGCACAGCGAGCGTGTAGCTAGCGTCGCGCCAGCATGAAGCCAGCGTCTAGTCAAAGTCGAGCCAG